GTTGGATAACTATTGTTGTATGAGTCCTGAATATTTGAAACAAAAAAGGAATCAATTAATTGATTGGCTCGTGGGAGCTTGTCCATCCAAAAGCTGGTCATGTTCTTAACTGGTGGAGACATTTTAATTAACCTTTAATCATTAAAGGGAGATCAATCATGGTTTGATTTAGAGCTCCAAAAGGTTGTGGTTGGTCGAATTGGTTTGGGCTACCGGAGTAACTCTCTGGGCCCCTAAGAGATGAAGGAATCAGAAAAGAAGCTGGACGTTTTAACCCCAATTTGCACCACCTGGATATACAGAGTGATATGTTTGGTGCTCTTTGTGTCTGTTTTTCCTGTAACTGGGGACACCAGGGCTCCAGTACCCTAAGTGTAACTTTCAACTCCTTATGGGACACCTTTAGAAGCACTGTGTCAACTCAAAAGTAGGAATCTGGCTACTAAGTTCAGGGGAAAAAATGTTTTAGGTTTTCCTTTCGGAACTGCATATTTATTCTCTGTGCCAACGGGACGACTCCCCTTTTTTTTTTTTTTTTTTACATCCAAATATATTAATATCCTAGATCTGAAGGTTCATATCCTCAGCTTTGCCCTTCCTTATCTCAGTCTTTGACAATTCAAGTTTTCCAGCACTTTTTAAGGCAGAATCATACAAATTTCAACCCACAACTGAAAATGCTGTTTAGCTTTTGGTTTGGATTTACAAAACATGTCATGCTGAAAAAGATCATCTGTTATTGGAGTGTATTCAGTTATATTTGACTGAAATTGATTAGTTACTGACTATTTTATTTACATACATCAAGTTTAAAACTATTTAAATGATGCAACTTATTTTGAGGCAAGCAGATGAGGTCAGCAACTAATACCTTCTGTTCCTCTATAGAGGAGTTCACAACCCTCAGCTGTAGCTGATTTAGTTTTGTCTCAGTTTTTGCTGACAGGACAAAACACAAGTTATAAAGAAGATTTTAGCATAACACGATCGAGTCAATGCATGTTCCACTACATATGTATATGCTAATATACATTGTTAATACCTATTTGCAGAAGACTCATATGTTGGTCTGTAAACAGATTCCTTACTGGCTGTGTGTTAGGGCAACAAATAAAAGTGTGTTTTAAGCTCAATTTGTGGTTGAACAG